AGTGATAAAAATAGGTCTACTAGTCAGAAGTATACTGAAGTTACATAAAAAAATAGTCCGGCTAATCTGTGAGCAGGGTTGCCAGATCTATAAAATGAAAAAGCGGGACTGTTCTCATCTAGACGGAAAACTCGAATTTTTTGGGGCGGGTGCCACGCCCAAAAGCATAAGGGGGGGAGGGGCAAGTGCCCGTGCCCAATGTGTCCCCCCTCCTATGGACCCCCTTGAGCAAAAGCGCAACACATTTTTTGGAACCACGCCCAAATTTTGTTAAGAATACAACCAAAACTCGACCAGAAAAAAAAACTTTCCTTTACAGATAACAAAAATAAAATAAACGCTTCACGTCGAAGAACAGAAATCATATTTATCTATACGCTATATAGAGTGGCAAAAAAGTAGCCCATAATACTTGTAACTTTTTGTATGAAGAAAGGTTCTAAAAAGCTAAAGGTTGTATGCACTACTTTTTTGCCACTCCGTATATGTATAAACAACTAAAAAATAGCAACTGACCTTTTCAATTTAAAATCCTCTCTCTCTGGCGTCAAACTGTCAGACGCCAAAAGAGTATGAAAACAGCGGTTGACAGCAGCTGACAGTGGTTTGTTCACAGAACATATCACCTCTAGAAAAGTATCTGCAATGGTATGTACTTGGCTTGCTGACTCCTTTTAGCTCGTTTCGCCTCATTTTCTTGAAAACTATGACTGGCAGGAAGTTTCCAATGTCGAACATAGTGCAAAGAGAGTTAGTAAGTTAGCAAGCGACACGCAGCTATAGGTAGATCGCAAAGTAAATACGAATAATAAATACAAATACGAACGAAACGAAACAAACGAACAAATACAAAAAATACGAACAAAAATTAGGGTTTTTTTCAACCAAAACTTTTTGAATTTTCACTTTAACGCGCGTGGGGACCGTGGGGTACAACAACACAATTTAAAAATTCAAATTTTGACTTTTGAAATGACAAAATAAATGACAAAACCAACCAACACAAATCACTGTCCACACCACAGATACCTGTAAATTTCTCTTATCTCCCGACAGTGTCGCCATCGTTGATTGAAAACCTAACTAAAAACCTTCGTCGCGATTCTCCCATTTGAGATATTTTTCTATAGGTGATATGTTCTGTGGGTTTGTTGACAAAACTTTTGTACATGTGGAAACTGGAAACTATTATTTCTTCGTTTTTTTCAAAGTTTTTTCCTAACAATAGTGATTGTGTAGTGTGCCTTTTTGTAAAAATAATTCCTATTTACCGGCGGACGTGTCTTTCCATAAGTTTCCATCAAATCCTACATTTGTCAAATTTTGGATACATAAAATCAGAAACAATACTCGCAAAAAAAAGGGAAATCCACGGCCTATCAAGTACCTATACAAAGTAATCCACGTTCAAGTTTAGTTTGCGGGATCTGTTTGCTTCCAAGATAATCCACCGCTTTCTCCATAGTGAAGTTCTGCAAATAAAGTAGTGACTTTTCGTATATTTTCTTTCTAAACACCCCAATACACACTGGCATTGACAAGCAAGCAAATGTTGGCGGGAAAATGATTGTTTTCATACTTTATTGTCTATCTCTTTTAATTGAAAACGTCAACTACAATTTAAATTGTCATATTTTTGACATGATGACACTTTTCTTAAGATATTATTGCGTCCCCACTTTTCAAAAATAATATAAAGTCTTTACAACTCATTTTAAAATTAGGGAATTATTGAAGAGTGAAAAATGCCAGGCACTAATAGCGCTAGGCAATATTTTGACGTTTTTGAGACGCGCGCGTTGTGGCAGTACTGTTAATTTTTAGTGCCGCCACTAATAAAGTTTGTGCCTTCCACTATTTGTGGAAAATAAAAACAGGCCATAAACAGGCACAGTCACGTCCCTATGTCTCTTTTTTTTTTAAGTTGACGTCCGTCAAGGCTTATTCGAATGTTGACCTCACTTTTTTTATTAATTTACATTTATTGGTTTGTTCAGATTTAGTTCAGAATCAGTTCTGAACTGAACTGCGCTTGAGCATTGGTTTACATAATATGTTCGATATGAATAAATGCGCAAGCGCAGTTCAATTCAGAACTGATTTTAAACGAAGTCCGACCAAACCTATTTCTTCAATTTCCAGTGCCAGGTTAGTGGCTTCTCAGCGGTGTTTGGTGTTGTGTTTTTATAGGTATTTTTACCGATTTGCCTGTTCTGTTCATTGCATGTGTTGGATTTTTTTATTAGAATGGGCTCTTATGAAGAGAAAGACAGTTTAAAATCACAAATACTTCGTTCCAATGACCACGGGGCCCCATCATTCTCGTCCCTTGAAATGTGGTCTACCTAATAATATGGCCTCCAATATCCTGCATTATAAAATATAGATGAAATAACAAAACAAACTCAACAAAAAACTACAAGAAGAACCACTAGAAGAATACTAAACACGTATTTACACTTTGCAATTTTAGGTTAGGAATATGAAAATAAAACATGACATGCCACTGCCAAAGTTCTCCACTGCCAAAGTTCTCCACTGCAGACTTCAATGTGTCGTTCAATAATTCCTTTTGTGAGCCAAAATAGCGCCTGCCACAGTCAATTTTGGGTCGGCACTAAAGCGGCACAGTCAACTGCGGCCGTATTTCAATAATTCCCTATTAGTTTTAATCATAAGCTCTGCCTCCAAAGTCTAATGTCTAATTTATTTCTCCCTTTTCTCCATGCGGTAGTCATAAGGCTAAAAATTCTCTCAGAAGACGCAATAGTCCTTTCTCATTTTCTCTGTGCTGCGCACGCAGCCACTGTAGTAGAAATTGTCGACACTTTTCACACCATTGACACTGTGGTGTTCGTTAATAGGTAGGAGTAAGTTGGGTGAACACTTTATTTGCGTTTGGAAATGATTTGGTGTCCAAATGGTGTTATTATGGTGGGACACCGTTCACTCGTTACAAAGTGATGGTGTATTTGGTGTTACACCGCTGATTACACCTTCATCACGTGATACAACACTACACTACACGAACACCGCAGTAGCACTGCACTAAAATCCCATTCCGAACTCAACTATTGCTGAAAATTATTACAAAAACTGTTTATTATACAATGGTTCAAATGTATTGTGAGAGATCTTGTCAGAGTAAGGCGAAAAAGAAGTCAAGCCTTTCTTTTCACAAGTTCCCAAGTAATAACATTTTAAGAAAACAATGGTAACTACTTCGTACTTCTCAAATTTTTCTAAACTTTTCCCCCACATATTTGTCATATTTACGTTTAAAAATAAACAAAAACTTCTCGAGTCCACAAGGTCTGCGAGTGACGTCAGCAGCTAATAGTGGCGACGTCACCCGCAGACCTCGATGAAATGCTTGGGTCAATTTAAATGTAAAAATAGCTACTTATGTAACAAGTTATAAAATGAGCGTGTTTCTTACAATAAATGTAAAGATTGGGTGGAAAAAGCGGGAAAACCGGGACAATTCACGTGAAAAGCGGGACCTGAAGTTAATCAAAAAAAAGGCGGGACCGATTAACAAAATGCGGGACTGTCCCTCCTAAGGTGGGACGTCTGGCAACCCTGTCTGTGAGTATAAATAATATGTCTGGCAAGTGAAAAATTGAAGACCCGAAAATTTTCAGCCAGACTCACTTTCACTATCTGAGATAAGCCAAATTGCTATTTTCATGTACTTTATGTTCTATTGTAGTAAATGTGAAATATTTATGTCTGGGAAAATAAGCGTACTTCTATTTTCCATTGATCTTGTGAACCCATCCGAAAATTTTAGCCAGACTCAAAAATTATTGCTATGTATCACCAGGGGCGAGTTCAGAAATAACACACCGGGTGTTAGCGCGATTTTATGGGCGTGACCATTGACAATTCTTAGGCGACAACTTTCGTATGAATTTCTGAACGCTTGGTGTGACGGTGTGACCAATCAAGCATCTCCTCAAAAATTTCACCAAATCTATTAAGATTACTTTTTTTTTTTTTGTTGTTCATTTTTTTAATTTGAAGAAAAAAATTTAATTCTTATATGTGTTTTGTTTATATTTGGTGGGAATAATGAAATTATGGGAGGAATGGTTGACACTGTTGACATAAAGACACAATCACACCCGCAGCCACACCAAAAAATTATGGTGTGACCGGTGCGTCACCTGGTGCGCGCCTGAAGTACTTTCTGAACGGAAAAGAGTACGCGCACTCGGTGTGCCTATAGCATTTATGAACGGCTAGTGCGTCGTACCGTTGTCACACTCACACTGAGTGTGTCATTCCTGAACTCGCCCCAGGTTTAAAACAAACTATTTAATAGACACCAACTGGGAAAATAAGTGCTAAAAAATTTCACTGCCTCCTGGACTATACGGAATCATAACCTGTGGTGCAAACAGCCTACCTCAAGACCAGAAAAGACATGCTGTTTACGTCACAACTGGTGATTTGGGGTGGTGAGGGGCTTTAGATATGTTCTACACAGGTCTTATGAGGATAGGCTATCCTGCACTCTGCAGTAGTAGTGTGTATTATCCTTGCTCAGACGCAGCCTAAAGGGTTAATAGCGCTTTCGACTTTTGCTCCAAAACTGCACCCGATTGGTCAAAAAGCGATCCGAAACAGCTTCGAAAATTCGGCTTTAAATGGAGCGTTGTTCTCGGCGAGATTTACGTGTTCCAATTGAACAATCTCAAATCTTGCAGCGATAAGGGAGCGCTCTTTCTTCTTCCGTCAAATTCGATGGATCAAAAAGTTTTATTAAAACATCCCTTAATTAAAACGTTGGGCTATTGATTTCAAATGGTGTGCCCTCGTTTAGATTATAGTCGCTCTCGGAACACTTCCGTAGAGATCTGTGCCGAAAATGTTATGTGTTCTTGGCCAACGGTGCTATGAAGTTCAAAAATGTTTTCGAACGCGTCCTATTCTTTTCTTTTTGTGGCGTTTCGTTTGACATTTGTAAACAAAATCATCTTTTGACTTTTCCATTACAATTTTACACGTCAAAGTTTATAAAAAAATTAAAACATTTGTAGAATTTTGTGTGCGTTTTTGTGAAGCGAAAATGTCGAATTAAAGCCCAAAACCAAATATCTACTAAAAATTAGGATCCCACAACTCAAGCGATCACTATGGGTACTTGAAAAATCGAAAATAACAAAACCCGGATATCTAAGGTTAGTTTTTTTTTAAGGTGTCCTCTTTAGCTACTTCAAAAGCCTTATTGGGGCCAGAGAAATGAGAATTCTCATATTGGGATTAGATGGAGCAGGAAAAACGACCATCTTGTACAGGTTGCAAGTCGGCGAAGTTGTAACGACCATTCCCACAATAGGTTTTAATGTAGAACAAGTTACGTATAAGAATTTGAAGTTTCAAGTTTGGGATCTCGGCGGACAGACTAGTATTAGGTAAATATATTGTTTCTGTTTGTTGTCCTTATACTATACTTCTTATAGTCCCTATAGAAAGAAATAAGAATTGCCTCTTGCCAAACATCCTTTACCGGCTATTTTCATGAGTCCTAACTCCTGACTTAGAATCTCCATTTCTAACCATTTATTTACGTCCAGTAATATATGATTGAAACTAGAGCGAAGAAATGTCTCTAAACTCATATACACTAAGTTTATCTTTCAGCAGCTTATAGTTAACACAATCAAACGCACTTGTAAACTCGCAGAAAATCGCTGCGGCGTATTCTTTGTCATTTATATTGAAAAACAAACTTTCCAAACATGAAAATATTACGTCGTTAGTGTAATTATTATTTATTATGTTATTAGTTTTAATCCCGGTTTTAATAAACTCTACACCATTTCCAAATCCAAGCGGCAGTAAATGATATTTAATAACCTAAATTGTAAACAAACACACCAGCCTTCCTATTGGTTAAAACGCCCTACCTGGACCGGCAGCCTTAAGGCCGTATCAGACGTACCGTTGCCGATTTTTATTAACGATTACGATTGGGAATTCGACCAATCAAAATGTACCTGCTTCTGGTTGCGATTGCCGTTGTATGTTTAGGTTGGTGTCTAAATTTTACGAGGCCGTTCTGAACCGTAGCCAAATGAAAGCACTCATATGAATAGCATGTGACATGTGTCTAAACGTCACTTTTTTGTTTCGCAATTTATGGCTTCTCCGGTCTTGCACCCAAACCTATTTTTATTTTTTTTTAATGATTTAACAATGATTTAATGATTTAACAATGAATACCTAATGAATAAAATAAATACATTTCAATCTTTATGCTCAATTAAATTAAATTATATATTGCACCTAGATCACAGACAATCTGTATGTGCAAAAAAAAAAAATCTTACAGGTTAATTATTCTGGAATTTCATTCACTTATACAAAACTTTATCATACCTACAACCTGCAAGTTATAAGAAAAACTGCAAAGAAAAAGAAGAAACTAAGAAAGGTATCCCAGACACACAATGCTGAGAATCACAATAAATCAAGATAAGTCCTATAATTGGTGTATATAATTGGCTTACACTTTTTGGCAAATATATTGTACTTAGGTATATTTTTTATGCTTATTGGTAGGGGGTTGTATAGTCTTGGAGCTAGGCTCGTGGCAAATCTTTGGTTACCGTCTTTTCGGTAGAAAGGAACTACTAAATTTTGGTTTGATATTTGTCTGGTTTGGTATGTGTGCTCAAGTTTTGTTTGTAAATTTTTGTTTTTGTATAAAAAAAGGCAAATGTTATAGAAATACAGCATTCTTATACTTAGTACATTCTCATTATACAGCTGGTCAGTTGGAAAACGTTTTTCTTTTTGAAATATAACCTTCAATATGTAATTTTGTACAACATTAAGAGGTTCTAGTGCACTAACATAGAGACCACCCCACACGACTATGGCGTACTGCAAGATGGATTCAACCAGTGCTTTATAAATTGTTACAAGCAGTTTTTTGTTCACAAATTTACGGAGCTCATAAAATTTGTAGACCAGCCTTCTTGTTTTAACAGCTAAGCTATTTACATGATTGGACCACTTCAAATTCCTGTCAACTATCACACCCAAGTATTTAATCTGATTAACCTCATTGATTTTCAGTACTGTTCTCGGTAACTGCAAAAATTCGAAGGTCGTTCTATTAACATCAGTGAGTGAGAAAGCGATATATTTTGATTTGTCTATATTAAGAGTCAATTCGTTAAAGTCCAACCAATCCTTGACCCTGCCAGTGCCAAGTTCTGCTTTGTATTTAACTCCTTGCCAAGTATCATCACTAAATAGTAAAACTGTGTCGTCAGCGTACGATATAATTTGGCCCTGTATGTTAACATTTAGTAACGAATTAATATAGACGATGAAAAGCAGGGGGCCCAGGACTGTGCCCTGCGGGATGCCTAGATTGACCCTTTGACATTCACTCAAAGTGTCCTTTATCCTAACCTGCTGGGTTCTATCCTCTAGATAGCTGTGAAAGACCCTCAACACCGTGCCCCTGACACCGCAATGCTCAAGGACTCTCAGCAGTTTTCCATGAGGCACCGTGTCGAAAGCCTTTGCAAGATCCAGAAAGACACCCACGCATTTTTTGTTTTTGTCCAGGTCCGATTTGATGCAGTCAATAAGTTTGAAAATGGCATGGTTGGTACTCTTACCCTTCTGAAAGCCAAATTGATCTTCATTTAAGATTTTGTTGGCTACGAAGAAGTCATATAGTCTATCTTTAAGACATTTTTCAAATTCTTTTGCGAAGGTCGTTATTAGACTTATTGGTCGAAAATTGCTAATTTCACTCTTGTTGCCGGCTTTGTAAATTGGAACTACTATTGATCTCTTCAAGTCATTTGGAACATTTCCTTGCAGAAAGATTAAGTTTATGATATGCACGAGAGGAACAATAACATGCAAGTGATGATCTTTTATTAGTTTTGCACCAACGTTGTCATATCCGGGAGAACTGTTGTTTTTAAGTGATGCTATATGCAAAATGAGTTCGTTAATACATACTGGCCTAAGAAACATGCTTCGAGAGACACGAGGGTTGTTGGAGTCTCTGTAATTGGTAGGCGATTGTATTTTTGTTGCCATTTGTTTTCCAATCTGGACAAAATACTCATTACAGAAGTTCGCCATCTGTTTTGTGTTTTCAAATTGTTTATTGTTATTGTCTAGGATGTTAATTTCACTGTTTCTATTTGTGTTTGAGTTTGTTGCTTCATTTATTATATTATATATTCTTTTCATATCATTTTTGTTGTCATTTACTATTTCACGGTAATACCTGGCTTTGGCTTCATTTATAATTTTCTTTAAATTATTTCTATATGTTTTGTATCTCTGAATAAGTTCCTCATCATTTCCATTCCTTATTATTTTTTTCTTTAGGTGATCACAGTGTTTTATAGAGGTTATAATTGCATTTGTAATCCAAGGTTTGATTTTTACATGATTCTGTACTTTTATAACCTTTGTTGTTCTACATTTATCATACATTTCGGTGAAAATGTTGTGAAATATGTTTCATGCTGAGTCTGCCTCATTTTCTGCCAGGACAGGAATCCAAGACTCTTGACTGATTAGGTTTTTAAATTTTATATTGTCAAAATAGGCGATAGTTTTTTCCATGGCTAGTGGTTTGTTTTGGTTTTTACTACATATTTGTAAATATATAGGGTAATGATCTGTTATATTATGGTTTATCACAGACGAATATAAGTTCAGGTTGAGATTGTTCAGATTTTGTCTGACAAAGATGTGGTCTATGCAAGACTTGGTGTCTGCTGTGACTCTAGTGAAAGTATTTATATATGATTTGAAACCTTGTGACATAAGAGTGGTCAAGTAGCAGTTTGCAACATTTAGATCGCGATTCAAAATATTTATATTTACATCACCTAAAAAAATTGTGAAATCCTCACTTGGAATGTTTTCTAAGAAATTTTCAAGATCCAGCACAAAGTTTTGTTCTGAAGTAGAGGGTGATCTGTATGTAGTCACAACATTATAAGTCAGATTACCAAGTTTAAATCGAATTTCTGTTAAAGTGACATGAGAAAGTGGTGTTACTGTGTGTTTAATATCAAAATTTATCCTGTTGTTTATGAAAATAAGAAGTCCGTCATTTTGGTTGAGGGTACTATTATTAAAAGAAGTAACAAAACCAGGATGTTAAATTGGCTTGGTAAAAAATTGTTTCTGGTTTCTCCCAATATTAAAATGTCAGTGTTTTTGAGGTCACAAGCTTGCAAAAATATTAAAATTTCATCAAAGTGTCTGGGAGCACTACACACATTAAAATGTAAAATGTCCAGAATTTTTTTGTTAGATTTAATTTTGGCCTTAAACTCATCTACTTCAACGGTTGTTTGTAGCTGTTCTAAGTCAGTTTCTGTCTCTAATGAATTAAGAATATTGGCAATATCCATAAAGGAAGGAAAAAAAAATAAATAAATATATATATAGAGTAAAGAAAAGCAATAAAAATATATTATTGAATGACTACTGCTTAGAGTAGTAGTCTATAGAGGTTTTATATCTGCAAAAAGTATTTGTAGGTAGGACAGTCTAAGGAAAAAGCTTCATGCTCTGTGTTATGATTTAAATTGAATGTTCCATTTGCACGTAAGCAGTTGCAGCATTTTTTAAAAGTTTTTGGACAATTCTCAGATTTGTGCTCTAAACTACAGTAAGTACAAGCAAGTTTATTCTTACATTCTATGTCTTTGTGATCATATGCAAAGCATTTTTTACATCTCCGAATTCTAGTTTCCTCATAGACTGGACATCGTTCCCATGATAAAAACACCTTTTTATAGTCCATTAGTCTTCCAAAAAGGTCTCCAGAGCATTCACCAAAAAGGATGCTTTTGTTGTTTCTTAAAGGTTTAATGTAAGTTGAGTTAAGGTAGTCCTCGTCCTGAATAAAGTGGTTTTGTTGTTTTAGGCACTTTGTGATATCTTCCATGCTCATGTTTGTTGTTGACGTAACTATTTTAAATCTAGGTTTCTTCATTTGCGGTAGCTGTACTGTATACCTTTTCTCTGTGTCTTGTTCTTGTATAGTTTGTAGCAACTTCTGACTTTCCTGTTCGCTGCTACAGTTTATTATAACAACTCCATTTCTCGAAGTCTTCACCGATTTGATACTCACATTTAACTGGCCAGGATTAATTTTTGATTGCAGTTCTGTTTTTGTAACTTCCGCATCTTGTTTGTTTTTTGGCTTAATAAGCACTGGAGGAACATTTTTAGGAGTATGAAGTCTGAAAGGCTGTTGTGGCAAGGCAGGAATTGATGCAACACTTGCATAAGATTTAGTTCTTTCTAGCTTCTTTATTTGTTCCTGCAACATATCTATTATTTGTTTATCATTGATAATTGTTGTTTTGTCTACAATTGTGTTTTTGAGGCACTCTATGAGATCATTCTCTCT